CCCCCCCCCCCCCCCCCAGATATTAGAAGGAAGTCAAGTAAGTTTCGAATGCAGAACTGGAAGTAGACCTTTACCTAAACCGGGTAGATCCCGTACAGAAACCTTGCTGGTTTTTGTATTATTATTACGGATTCCAAACACAAAATGGCAAAACTGGCAAAACAAAAATGGGTTTGAAGTGAAAATCATCATCACCATCATCATCATTGTATAGTTTTTTTCAGTTCAAATATACACATAACAAATTCAAAGACCGCATAGAAAGACCAAATTACACCTAGCAAATCCAAATATACAAATGACGTCATAAAAAGTCCTAATACAACAATAGCAAGTTCAAATGTAAACATAGAAATCTCAAATGTAACACATAGCAAATTCAAATGCCACATAGCAATTTCAAATGTAAATATGCTTGAGATCAACGTCTATCTCCAAAAGGACCAATCCAAAGGGTAAATTCGCGTAAAGTGCCGTTTCCCAAGGACACAATGCGGGACCTTAGTGAGGCTTGAACCCCCGAACCACTATGCTACCCACGCCACTAAATCGTATTTCCAAATTAAGAAACGTATTCACAGATTGCAAGACAAGTTATGCAGGTGGCAAGATATTTCACCTCAAGTACATTTGATAAAACTAAAATGTTAAATGAAGCATAAAAAATAAGTAATAAAATGAAAAATGAAAATGAAAATAAACATTTAATGCTTCTCACGCTGAATAATCTTTGTGGGGGATATTTGCTTTTGCTATGTGGCATTTGAACTTGCTATTGTGTTACATTTTGGGTTTGCTATTTGTACATTTGAACTTGTTACACAAAATCATGCACTAAAATTTCTTATTGAACATTTCAACTTTCTATGTGGCGTAAAACTTGCTAAGTGGCATTTGTATTTCTTATCTGTACATTTGATCTAAAAAAAAACAACTATAAATAGCGGGGAATTAAGAAGGGTTGAGACTGGTAGAATTTTCAAATTTTATACAGGTTCAACGTTTTGCCCGGAAAAGGGCTTCATCAGGAACAGGATACAAAAAATAATGTAAGATCTAATGACTACAAGCTATAGCAACAAAAGTGCGCGCATCTACGCCATAATGCCAAAAGGTGAGATTAAAAACAAATCAGGAAGACCAGAGAAAATTGAAGGCTATGGTAAGAAGAGGTGTGGAGATAATATATTATGTACGTCAAAATCATACATTATTATTAATATTAAAGTAAAGGTAATTAATAGTAGTAGTGGCAGCAACAGCAGCAGCAGCAACAGCAGCAGCAGCAACAGCAGCAGCAGCAGCAGCAGCAGCAGCAGCAGCAGCAGCTGCAGCAGTAGTAGTAGTAGTAGTAGTAGTAGTAGTAGTAGTAGTAGTAGTAGTAGTAGTAGTAGTAGTAGTAGTAGTAGTAGCAGTAGTAGTAGTAGTAGTAGTAGTAGTAGTAGTAGTAGTAGTAGTAGTAGCATTAGTAGTTGTAGTAGTAGTGGCATATATCTACATGAGGAAAGGAACTTTTAAAACTTTAAATTCCACACAGGTAGGAAACTTATGTCCTCTCGAAACATCATCAATATCATTATCATCATCATCACCATCATCATCATCATTATCATCATCATCACATTCTTCTTCTTCTTCTTCTTCTTCTTCTTCTTCTTCTTCTTCTTCTTCTTCTTTTTCTTAAAATCATCATTAACATTATTATTATTATTTCCAGAAAAGTACGTTCAAGCAGGGACTCCAGCCACTTACCTTTCATTTCTCAGCTTCTCATACTTGGACACATCCAGTGAGGCAAATAATATCTGAATGGGGTAGAGACAGGGAGAGTTTGTAACTTGGAAACTGGATTTGGAGTGAAAAGAAAGGGGTGTCTGCGCGTATTTGCAACTGTGTGTGTGCGTGGGTGTTTGTGTGTGCGTGAGCATGTGTGTAATATGTATGTGTCTGTGTGCGTGCGAAAGATAAGTTTGACTTATTTCAAAAGTGGGGGAAAAGGTGGGTCTGAAGTAGACATTTTTCCCTACGAGCTTCATAATAAACATAAATGCAGAGTAGCAAACATTTAAACAGGTAAATAAAGGTCTGGAGAACGCATGAAGTGGGAGTATTCAAACTATATCGGTTGTCAGTCCTTGACGCTGTGGGTGTTATTCAATTTTTCAATGACGTGTCATAGTCGCCTTCGAAAGAAACAAACAAAATAAATGAAACAGAAAAAAATTGGCAATCGAACAGTCGTCAATTTTCACACAGCCGGGGTATTAAGGGATGGTGCGAAAGCTACCATTTTTTAAAACTCTGTACAACCAATTTAATTTTTCTACCTTGAAAATTAAACGCTTTTGGTTTTGAAGGTCACAGCAAAAATTTATTTGAATTCGGTTGTATTGTGCCAAAATCGAATCTTTCGCCCCATCCATAATAGAAAATCTGGGTGGCCCCGACTCAGTTTGACGAATCTGATTGGAGGTGAACTCTTGGTACAACCAATACAATAGCCGGAGACTTACAGCGTCATCTTTCCTGAAGGCATAAGCCACACGGTCTAGATTGGTCCTCTCTTCGGTGTCCTCTGGAACAAAAGAAAAGAACGTTTTCTGTCAACTCTTAAGATGATGGGACTGTTCAATGACTTCACCCAATTAATATGCATGGCATTCGTTAAACACCAAAGTGAACTGTTATAAACCCGACACTGCAAAGTAATTTAGAAGGTTAGACATCCGAATTTAAATTAATTTCTTGATAGGACTGCACGACAAATCTGAACATTATCATAGACAGGCTACCCAATGAGGTGCATAGGCAGTTAGGTTAAAAACAATAAACTGTGCTGATACCGGAAATCCAGCACTGTAAATATATATGCAAAGAGAAGTCAGACGAACCCCCCCC